CATATATTTGAACTGTTTTAACTGCCAAAGGATTTGTATATTTGTGCGTCCATTTGTGAGATTTACACAGCTCTGCTACACAGCACACTCCTATCTGGCAGGACAGGACTTTGCTCTGCTGCAGTTAAGCCGCATTTACAGGTCTTGTCCTTCCCCTAGCCCTGTGACTGGACAGTGAAATGAGAACCAGCAGACTGATAAGCTCATCCCTCTGTCACACAACTGAAATCTGGGCATTAGTAATCCATATAGCTGAATGTGGGACCTAGCTCTCATTATAAAACTTAGTTTGTATCATTTTTACAAACATTTAAAAAAAGAATCTTAGAATAAGATATATTGTTTGTCACTTTCCTATATCAGCGTATGGAGAAAAACTGAGCCATTCCATGGTCAATCAGTATAATTCAAAAGGTGCCCATACACTGCACGATTATCGTACGATAATCGTATGCGATCGGTTTTTCGTACGATAATCGAGCAGTGTGAACGGAGACGTGCGACCGTTTCTACTGTACGGTCGCACGTCTTCTGTCGAACCAGCATGTTCGAAAACCAGCCGGGAATCGTACGATTCTCGGCTGGTTAGAACGGTGCTCGGAAGACAAATGCCGAACGGGCCGGTGTGCGCACGCGCACACTGCCCGTTCAGCATTGCGGTCATCGGAAGCCCGCCCCTCAGGGGGGCGGGCTTGCGATGATCGAGAGTGCGATCTGCCTGTCCAAGATAGGCAGATCGTACGTTTTTTGAATCCCTGTACAACCATCGCAAGACTAAAGTCTTGCGATGGTTGTAGAGTGTATGGCCACCTTAAATCTGATGTAAAGAATAGAAAATTGTATATTTTAAAGGAATCCTTTCATGAGACATACACTATATTGCCAAAAGTATTGGGACGCCCCTCCAAATCATTGGATTCAGGTATTTTGTGAAATTTCCTTGCTACTAAATATTACACGGACAACTGTTAGTGGTATTATAACAAAGTGGAAGCAGCTGGGAACAACAGCAACTCAGCCACAAAGTGGTAGGCCACGTAAAATGACAGAGCGGGGTCAGCGCATGCTGAAGCGCACAGTGTGCAGAAGTTGCCAACTGTCTGCAGAGTCAATAGCTACAGACCTCCAAACTTCGTATGCCCTTCAGATTGGCACAACAACAGTGCGTAGAGAGCTTCATGGAATGGGTTTCCATGGCCGAGCAGCCGCATACAAACCTTACATCACCAAGTGCAATGCAAAGCGTCGGATGCAGTGGTGTAAAGCACACCGCCACTGGACTCTAGAGAAGTGAAGACGTGTTCTCTGTAGTGACCAATCACGCTTCTCTGTCTGGCAATCCAATGGACGTGTCTGGGTTTGGCGGTTGCCAGGAGAATGGTACTTGCCTGACTGAATTGTGCCAAGTGTAAAGTTTGGTCTAGGGGGCATTATGGTGTGGGGTTGTTTTTCAGGGGTTGGGCTTGGCCCCTTTGTTCCAGTGAAGGGGACTCCTAAGGCATCAGCACACCAACACATTTTGGACAATTTCATGCTCCCAACTTTGTGTGAACAGTTTGGGGATGGCTCCTTCTTGTTCGAACATGACTGCGTACCAGTGCACAAAGCAAGGTCCATAAAGACATGGATCAGCGAGGTTGGGGTGGAGGAACTTGACTGGCCTGCACAGAGTCCTGACCTCAACCTGATAGAAGACCTTTGGGATGAATTGGAGCGGAGATTGCGAGCCAGGACTTCTTGTCCAACATAAGTACCTGACCTCACAAATGCGCTTCTGGAAGAATGGTCAAACATTCCCATAGACACACTCCTAAACCTTGTGGACAGCCTTCACAGAAGAGTTGAAGCTGTTATAGCGGCAAAGGGTGGGCCAACTCAATACTGAACCCTACGGACTAAGACTGGGATGCCATTAAAGTTCATGTGCGTGTAAAGACAGGTGTCCCAATACTTTTGGTAATATAGTGTATATATAAGGTGCCATTGCTGACCTCTCCTTCTGTAAATGCTAGTTGCCTGACTGCCAAGCTGACCTTTTGGCTTCAATACTTTGAGTCATTTCCCCAAAATAAGTATGTAGATAAGAGCTCCTGACCTCTTCTACGATCTCCATCCTTATTCTGAGTTAGTGAATCAAACAGTATTAAAGTCACAGGGTAAGTATAGACAGGAAGCATTTTCAGAAGGAGGTAAGCAATAGAAGTCTATACTGTATATTTATCTAATGATATGTTTACTTTTAAAAATATTTGCAGTAGGAATCAATACATTCTGAATATCGATGCACAGTCCATTAAGAACCGGGGCTATAGACCAAGCTCACTCAATTAATCAACACTCAGTCACTCAGTCACAGATCTGGGCAGACATATCCCCGCTCTTCCTTTGTAATACAAGTCTAAGTAAGGACACGTGCTAAGAGGTGTGGCTGTTACTCAGCTCTGCCAGAACAGAGCACTGGTGTGGGATGTCAGGAAACAGCATTTTCCCTAACAAGGTATTTGAAGATATTTCCAAGCACAAATCAGCAGTTGATGAGCTTTAACAGTAACAGTAATGAGCTTTAAACAAGTTCTTGGTTACCTGTATAAATGCAGGTAAGGTGAAGCAATTCATTCTTAAAGTTCCCAGCAGAAAAACTGAAGTAATTCAAGTGTTTCTTTCAGCAACTCAGCTCACCCTGCCCCCACCTCGTAGCAATGACTCAGCAGCACAGCTCACCCTGAAACCCACCCAACAAGTCACTCAGCCATTCAGCTCCACCTAAACCCCTTTACTCAGCAGCTTAGCTCCTTTAGTTCCTCCAATCCAGAAGCCTTTCACACTTCTTATATCCAATGTTGACACAGGTGTTCTGGGAGGGGGGAGCATGGTGACCTTTGCAGATGAGGGGAAGCAGAAGAAGCCAAGCTGCTGGCACGTGAATTAGTTCAGTGCTTCCACTGTGAACTTTAAGGATGAATTGTTCCACAGTGCCTGCATTCACAGAGGTCAATGAGGGCTCACTTTGAAGCAAATGTACTGCCTGTTAAAATATGTAAATACTTAGCCCAGCCAACTCTGTAATGCCATATCCATCTTCAACAAAAGCACCTACAGTTGGAAGAGAAACCCGCCAGTTGGTTTTAGTGCAGCATCCGCGTCGTAGATATATACCCTAAAGGCAGCCAGCTAGACAGGCTAACTGCAGTGTTTTTGGGGACAGCATGCAATGTCAGGGATGTGTTACACAAACCCAATACCACTAGCCTGTAACGTCAGCTGCATTCAAGGTAGACACCATTGCAGCCTGCTGGCAGGCATATGCAGCACCCATGTAGGGGACTTCTTCATTTTGACACACACACAGAACGTATGGCGCCTAGCAGTCATCTGACCCTAGAAATTCTGAATTTTATTCTGTAGCTATCACTCCCCCTCAGCATATCATTGCTAAGGAAAGAGTTGAGTTCCCATGATGCCCTAAGAGCTGCAATTTAAAGTGACACTAAAACTCAGGAGTTAAATCTTAACAATGCATTCAAGTACCCTAAGTATTAACAATACTGGACCTTCTCTGTGCATCATTCGGATGTAGATTCTCAAATCATCTCTGAATTGGTGCTGACACTGTCCTTCCTCAAAGCTCGCTCCCGTGATAGACTTTAACTTTAATACAAAAAGTAAACTAAACATGAGATTGTAGTCCATCACAAGTGTGAGTTTGGAGTGGTGTCTGCTTTACAACACACACAGGGACCACGGGGAACAAAAGTAGCCCCCCTTCAGAAGGAAGGACAGTGTCAGCTCCAATTCAGAGTTGATTTGAGGATCTACAGCTGAGTGTTACACAAATAAGATACATTCTTATTATTAGTTAAGGTACCTGAATGCAGTTTTAAGATTTATCTCCTGCGTTTAGTGTCACTTTAAGGCCTCATTCACACTGCCGCACGTATGCGCGCGTATACGTGCGTACGTGCGTATTGTACCATATGCAACCTATGCAAATAAATGGCTCCATACACATAGCCGCGTATAGAGCCGTATATTTGCGTAGCGTATATATGCGCAAAAACAGAATGGAACAGAGATGCGTCCGGGCAGTGTATCTCTGCGTATATACGCGTGTTTACGCGCATATACGCGTCTACATGCGTACAGCACATTAAAAATTCCATTACGAGTGATGCATTCTGGGATTGCATATAGTGCACGCATATACGTATATACGCGCATATACGCTCGTATACACGCGCGTATATACGCGTGTATATATACGCATAGACGCGTATATACGCAATATACAATTTTGCTTGCGTTGTGTGTGAATGAGGCCTAAAGATCCAACACCAGCAACAAATGATGCGTTCCAATCCCCCTACTCGCTCACTGGATGAATGTACGCTGAGTCCTTTTCGCCAAAATACTCTACTACACTGTAATATACAATACATTCAAAAGAAGAAAAAAAAAGTAATTAAGGGGTTAAAAGCCCCCAAAACATTGATGGCCAAGGCAGGATTATATAGACTCTATCGGATCATTTCATTTAGACAATGCATGGCAAACAAAAAAGAAATCTCATTAATCCGATTTGCTTTCCTTTCTAATTATTCTCCGACGAATGACGCCCACCTCATATCGTTTATTAAAGTGTAATCTCCCATCAATACTCCGCGCATCAGGCTGCCGTGCATTATTCAGACCGCCGCATCTCCTGTGAAAGATGATTTTAATCTTTGAAGTCTGCAGACAGAATCCCACATAAGACATTCATAGGAAGCAGCAACAGCCAACCACTGGCAGAGGCAGGGAAGACACTGCCTGCCTGCCACAAGATGCTCTTGATCATTCCCACATAGTGGAGTCTATAGCTCTGATCACTCTTTTCTCTCCTCCTTTCCTTTTTTTTCTTCTTCATTAAAACAAGTGTGACAATCTGTGATTGGCTGGCAGTCAAGGCTTCCTGGAACTGAACACTATTTAAATAACCTTAATATCACACAACCAGAAGCTTTGTAACCAGGAGACTTACAGGCTGCTGTCAGGACTGTCCATATGCTTGCTGGAAGGTAAGATAATTTCCAATCTTTGCTCAGCTATACTAGTAAAATGATCAGACAGGAAAAAAAATAATCATATGCATCATTATTATTTCTTTTTAGGATGTGATATTTGTTGGATTTTTAAAATCAGTTGAAAAATTGACTCCACGACTATGCTTTCCTGTAAATTCATCATAAATCTGCTTGTTTATTGTGCCTTCTATATAAAGAAATTGGATATTGTACCTCTTATCAGCTGCCAGTACCGCGTTCGTTGCTGATGGTTTTCTTGCTGATTTTATTTTAAATCAGGGAGAAATTTTCCAAGCGCTGGAAGTTTTTCTGAGACGGCTGCCAGTTTTTTAATGCTTCGGTATTGTGCAATTGTTAATTTATACATTGCCCAACTCTCTGAACTAGTCACTTAACCAATGTGACTTCACTGACCTGAATTTGATTGATTTAAATGGTAAGCTGATCTGATTGCTATGGGTCACTGATGGATGTGAACCCAGCAAATCAGTTATTGGGTAAATCACATGAGTCACTAGCGAGAATATTCTTCAATTATTTGCTCATCTGTTCTGATGGATATAGAATGGGTTACATTTTTAAAAGAATGGTTTATCTCTATGGTGGTTTGGTACTGTGGCTCACATATCAGAGCTATACGGAAACTGGAGGTGTTGTCCAGAGCATCCAAACAGGTTTTAGATGTCATTTACTAGATAGCTAGGGAACCTGAACTTAACGAAGAACTTCAGGAATTGTAAAAACTTACAGGGGTATCCCCAATGTAACGCCTTTTGTCTAGGCGGCTTAAATAAAGCAGTTTTACTCACATGTTCCTCGGTCAGTGCTGATCTCTCTTACACTTCGCTCCAGCTATGGAATGTGCCTCGGCATCCTCAACAGTCCGTAGACTACCAGAGCCCAGGGGGAAAGAGAGGCTGCAGGGATCGGTCTAGTAGCCCAGTGGGACTGAGGGTCAGGTCAGTATATCTGCTTTATTTGACTCCCCAAGACAAAACAAGCACTTAACCCTTGCAGTGCATGGGTAGCCCCAATGCAAAGGTAAGTTATTTTTAAATTACGGGAGTTCTTTAAAAAGCGAAGGTTTGCTATACTATTGGGAAAATGTAGAAAAGGTAATTGTGCCCAGGTGTACCCTGATCTAGCTTTTGTCTGGAGTTCCTCAATATCCAAATATCAATGCACTTCAATGTATGTGATTGTGCCTAGGCTCTCCTGTGCCTACTGCCTCATAGATGTATATCTGCAGTATGAGATCATCTAATGCACTGCTGCCTCTTAGTGCCAGTCTTGAGGTGATTTTGGAATGAAATTTGTTGATGCCACGTCTGAGCTGATCACTGTTCTCCTTGCTGGAGGCTCATGAGAAAGAAAAGCCCATGTCTGCCAAAATGGTCACCTCCATACAGAGACACAGCGCAGAACAAGGCATTGGTAAGTCAGTAATGGGGAGAGATCAGCTGCAGGAAGACCACAGGCAATACTGGTGACTAGTTAATTGCCCTCTGCCTGCCTTATTGGGCACAGCTTCCCACATACTGGACTACTATCTCTGTAATAAGGAAACAAAACAATATTGTAAACTAGTGGTATCTGATCATTTCGAGTTATCTTTCTAAAGCAATATTCTGTTATCATTTAGATCGCTGTTCTTCAGCGGTAATGGAAATGTTCTGTAAAGTCAAATATATCATCAGGATTAACTTAAAGTTTAATCTCTATATTTTAATATGCACATTCATATTACACACTAATATACAAATGCAAGAAAATAATAAATATTATTTTTAATATGTAAAAAATAGGTTTCATACAATAGATGATGATATAGTACTGAACCGTAATAAGACCCTATCACAACTTAAAAAATTGCAGGTACTTGCAGTGTTTTTTCTTTCCATAATTTATTTTTTTATATTCATTTGCCTTTAAATTTGCTGGAAAATCTGATTACTCCAGGAAAAGTAAATTCCCTGACACAGCCCCCTCCTTCCTTGCATATTGTAGCTCTCTGCTTTTCTGGGAGTGTCTAATGTGCTGGCCCAGCTCCTCTGCCCCTTCTCTCCCCACCCTGTATAACCTTTTATAAAGCTTCTGGGGGAGGAGCTAAAAGGGAATACTATAGAGTGTCAGCAGTCTTGTGGCTATAGGATTTCTTCAAAAGGTTGGCTTTTATTGGTAAATAACATTCATGAAATATGTTAAATGAACATTTAACCTTATGGGAAGATTTTTGTTGAACTATAATAACTTTATGATGAAATAACCCAAATAATATAAATATAATAATGATGAGGAGTGGGCTTACAAAGTACTAAGTATTGATAAAGAATTTGTCATTCACCCAGCGAAATTGAATGTACATTCGTTCTGTGCAAATGGAGGCAAAAACAAATGTAGGTATAGTTTCCAGATTGAATGTAGTTTTAGGTAATTACCACATTATGGCCACTAGATGGAGCAGAGGAGCATAGGAAATATGTATTTATTTCCGTGGTCCTTAGCTCCATCTAATAACCATTCTTTATAAATACACCCCTAAGAGTCCACAGTCTTGGTTAAAAAATACTAAAAAATGCAGTTCTGGATTTCTTTAAAACATAAGATGGAATCTTGTAGGATCAGTACCCAAATCTCAAATGATATCAGCCTCCTATATCTGACTAGGAGAGGGAGGGACAGTGCTAGGATCCAATCAGGCTTTGCTGCATGCTCATGTGCTAACAGTGAACATGCTAACAGATGGAGAAAGCAGAGTGAGTATAACTGATGACTTATTAGTATTTTGCTGTCCATTGACTGTGCAATCACAAGGCAGGGGGGTGATCCCTCTGTCATTTTTACCTGTGAAGAATATAGTTGAGTCTTTTTCCTAGCTGTGCTGTTTGGCAGAAGAGTATCACAAACGTGGCTGCAGGAATTGCAAATCATTTGGCAAACAAGACATACAGATATTCCTCACTTAACGACCTACCTGTGTAGCGACCGCCCGCACTTACGACTAGCTCTCCGACCGTAAGTGCAGGAACATGTCAGCGGCAGTGCGGCGTCTCACCCAATTCATCTTGCTTACAGTACTGTACTCCGTTCTCTGTTACTATTTTCGGTAAGTATTGTATTTACAGATTTACAGTACGCTGTACAGTACTGTACATCTCCAACACTACAGTATGAATACAGTACAGTACTGTATACAGTTCCTCGCTTAACGACCAATTCGTTTAACGACCTAGTCGTAGGAACGGAACTCAGTAATTAAGTGAGGAATAGCTGTACATGTATTTGAACTGTCAATTGAGCTGTTTGCCTTGTATTTAACTTTAATGTCCTAGGGAATTTGGCACAGTTCACTGGATATTGTTTAGATTAATGTAGCATAGGTCTTTTAAATTAGTCATCCATAGGAGTTGTCTGGTGTCCTATTGATTAATATTGTCGTATAGATTAAGGAACATGTAAACCCTAAGTGATATGATATTTAGTTTGCTACAACACTGTGTATAATTAACAATTCCCTATTTCTTAAAATAACATTTTCACCTTTTTTGTTGTTGTTGTTGTTGCATATCAATGCTGCTAAACTCCTGCAGACTCTTGATAGCCACATCCTGTCTATATGCACTCCAGCGATGGCTACATGGTATTTCTCAGGGAAGATTTCCTAAAGGTGAACACAGTTGACCATGCTTGTGAAATGTGTGAGGAAAAGGCCACTTCCATCAGAAGCCCGTGTGACAGTAGGGCAGACAGGCACAGAATGTTGTCTCCATATAACAGGAAGTGCCTGAACGAGAACTTTAAGGGAGGGATCACCAGGAATAATTTTAATTAAAGGTGCAGATTTAAAACGATTGAGAATGACTTTTGAAATTGCATTAATGTGTTACATTTTATATGATTCTACTGCAGTGGTCACTAAATGGAGGACCGCAGTCTGGACATGGACCGAGTGGCGGTTCTGTCCGGACCACCATCGCTGACCTGCGCTGAGTTATGGCTGGCTGACAGTGGATACCCCAGCCTTGAATTTGAATTGACTACCCCTACTGCTACTGTACAAGTTATTTGATTTACATACACATTAAATAATGACATGGTGACATAGTGTAAAAGTGTTCTGAGCTATAAGACCTATACAAATATTTACACACAGTAGGAGCTCTATATACCAGGTAGGGAAGAAATGTTGCATGGAGCATGATGTTGTCCTGTAAATCCATATAGTATTTTATGGTGAGGATTATGTTAGGAGAATTTATGACCTCAGTATAAAAGGTTTTGTAATCCACCTGTAGAAATTGGCAATATAATAGAGTGTTAGAGCGTATCATCTTTAGAGTTATGATATGGCCGTATCAATTCATAATTTTTGTAGCGCACAAAAGTGTCAAAAGTGCAGATTAAATGGGTTTTTCACCATCTTCATTTTCTGTTAGTTCATCCGTGATGAAGAGTTCATACAATAGAAATGTGGTATGTGTAGAACATAATCACACTAAAGCTTAATTCCAGCAAAAAAACAACCCTTTTATGTTTTGGATAGCCTGGGGAAGATTAGAACCTCTGTTAACTTTTATATTGCTGTCTGAAATATTTCAATATTTGTTCATTCTTTTTGCCTTTAAAATATAGAAGAAAAATATATGGCTTGGAAGGAATGTTTCATTTGTCTGGATCTAAAAAAAAATGTTATATAGTGTATGTGTAAATATATATCCTAGTGCTCTACATGTTAGCCTAGTATGACCCCCCAGGACAACCCCTAACTAACCTTTAAATAGTGCCTTCCCTACACCACCCCCACTCCCCCCATTCCTGTTTTGTCCTCACTCCTGGTAACCTGTTTTTTGTTGGTTAAGTGGAAGAAAAAAGTAAGACTCCCCTTTCATGCCTGGCTTCAGCCTCTCCCATGTGGGATGCCCCCCTGTTTTAGTGGTAAATTTGGCTATATGGTGCAGGACATGGGTGCTGGCCAGTGTTACCTGGCATCATTT